TTGTTTCTACTAGCTTCTTGTTACTACTAGTAAGGCACTTGTTACTACTAGCGATGCACTTGTTTCTACTAGCTTTTTGTTACTACTAGTAAGGCACCTGTTACTACTAGTAAGGCACTTGTTTCTAATAGCTTCTTGCAATTTCTTCTAATCGCGTTGCTTACTGAATCTACATACCTGTTTGTTTGAGAGTTTGTGGCGAAAGGTAATTGCGATGTTTAAGGGCATTCGCAGGAGCTAGGTTGGAGGAAATCGCTCGTAGGTGATGTTGGAGAGGGCATGTGGAAGGCCGTAAAGTTTGTTTGAGGTGAGAAGGCATTAGCAGGAGCTTTCTCTGATGCTGCATTGGTCTCAATGGCTGGATTCACTCCAAAGCTCTTGGCGTGTCTTCTGGACGGCTTCACCTTAGCAGGCCGATATCCGTAGACTGAAGATCCAGCCTACTTGGTCATTTTTGTGGTTGTTCTTTTCGTCTTTCCTTGGACCTGCCTTTTTCTTCGTGCCTTTGCTTTTTGTTGACCTTTCTTTGGATCTATTTCTACCTGTCCCTTCCTCTTCAGAACCCCGTTCTTGCTGCTTGTTTTTCTTTGGATTTTGTCATCTTTGCCCCTGTCACATGATCAAAAGCTTCCGTCAGGGTGCCTGCGCGAAGACGTCTTCTTTGCTGCAATGGAAGCATCTCTGCTCACGTCTTTGCAGCTTTAGTTCTTTGTGGCAACATAGCTCGTGTTCATTCTTGTTCAGACCGTAAGACTGTTCTTGGTTGTCTTTGATTGAATATGAGTATTCTGGCAGAACTCATATTCTGTCACAAGCCCGAAGCAGCAGAATTGGTGACTTGATTCAATAGCAAATGATAGGGATCCTGATGCCTCCAACCTACTAGCGATGGCCTCCACCTAGTAGCGTCCTTGCTCCTAGTAAGGCCAGGAGCCCCTAGTAGCTTCTTGTTACTACTAGTAAGGCACTTGTTACTAGTAGCGATGCACTTGTTCCTAGTAGCGTCCTTGCTCCTAGTAGTAAGGCCAGGAGCCCCTAGTAGCATCTTTCTTCCCCTGGTCCCCAGCCATTCGACACACTGAGGAATACATTCGACATGGGTCCATCGGCGGCCGCCAGCGTCAGCAAATGATGTCTCGTGTGCTTTTCTCGGCTGCTCGTCAGCCCCTCTACTTACTGCAGACCAGTGACCTCGCTCGCAAGCAACTGCTGGAAGTCGCAGCCCAACCACAACTTGACCAGTCCTTGGTACATCACATCCCAATCCTGCAAGTAACATCATTCCTGGACTCATACCACTGCCGCAGACACCATCAACTGCACGGACCTAGAAACCGGGAATCCGGAGGGAACCCGCAGGGTGATGGAGCGGGAGTTAACCCACCTCGCCTCACGCATCCGACCGACCTTGCGGACGGGAAAGGCTACCACGCTATAAAGCGCTGTCTTCTTAGCAAGGAGTAGAAATGAACGCTTCCAGGTGTGTAATGCGTAGAAAAAGACACATGCAACAACAAGAAGCTACGTTCAGGGTTCCTGGCCTTGCTGCTAGGAGCAAGGACGCTACTAGGGGCTTTCTACGAGCTGTCAAAGCAGGAAGAACACAAGAGAAGACGCGCCTTTCCAAGCTGAAGTCTTTGTTGTTTCTCTTCCAACATGTTCTGAATCTGCCATGTCTTAATCTGTTGGCGGAAGCAGTTCTCGTTCAAAGGTTATGTTGGAGCGGAAGCATATGCTGGAAGGCGTTTCGCCAGCTTGGGAACCATTGTCCCTGGGATTGCAGACTGGACAGGTTGGCTGTCACCTTTTCAAGATTTTCTACACAACTGACCTCTGCTGTTTCTAGTAACAAGAAGCTAGTAGTAACAAGTGCATCGCTTCTAGTAACAAGTGCCTTACTAGTAGTAACAAGAAGCTAGTAGAAGCAATAAGCTACTAGGAACAACTGACCTCTGCTGTTTCTGAGCAAACTTGCTGGTCTCTTGTCGCTTGTCTATCATCCATGAGTTTCTCCCTGAGGTTAAGCCGAATACATCACGCACCGGTTGATGCGCAACTTGGAAGATGTTCCCATTGTTGTTGACTTGTCTTCCCTACAAGCTCATAGGAAGATTGCAAGTGCAGGGCACTCCACGCGACACTATGTCACTATGTGCATGCGTTTCAAGAGCTCTTTTGTCTTCTTTCGCTCGCAATCGACGGGGGGGGAGCTGGTTTCTCGCTCCCAGTTAGGCCGCCAAGACCATACCATCGCGAGCTGCAAACCTGCGCTGCTGCTTTATCGTTGAAAGCAAGACGTCGCCGCAAAGGCGGGGCATGCGCTAAGACCTGATCAATTTTCAACACCTTTCCTTCGACTCGTTTGGCTTTTTAGAAGTCTTAGAAGTCCTTAGCCTATTGTCTTCCATTTTTTTCTACATGTTTTCTTTGTCCAAAAAGGGCCTCCAACCTGAGAGCGGACTTCTTTCGACCTTTCTTCCGACTCGGGTCTTTAGACGAGCATCGACGTGTTTGACACGACACCATCGGTGCGGCGTGGACACCGGCGGGACAAACCGGACTTTGACCGCGAAAAGGCATCCTGAAGTGCTGTTACTACTAGCGTGGCACCTGTTACTACTAGCATCCTGAAGTGAGGCTTTTAGGAATTTCGCTTGAAAACTGCAGACTATCGTCGTTTCACAAGAGCCTAGTAGCTCCTGGCCGTAGTACTAGGAGCAAGAAGCCACTAGGAATCATTAAGGCTCAGGCTTCTTCAAAGAAGCTCCTCCCCGCTCAGTCGGGGGTGAAGGAGCTTCCTTGAAGAAGCTTGAGCCCTAGCTTCAGCCTGCGCCCAAGATACTGATAGTCGCTTCTTGTTCGCTTAGTAAGTACGACTTCTGCTTCCTAAACCTGACTTCGCTACCACTTAAGCCTACCTCCAAAAGCCGCTTAGTTACCCCTCCTCTTTCTCTTTAAAGAAAGAAAAGGCTTTGGTTCTGAATCCAGTAGCTTCTTGTTCCTAGTAGCGATGCCAGGAGCCCCTAGTAGCGTCCCTTGCTCCTAGTAGCAATGCCAGGAGCCCCGAACGTAGCGTCCCTTGCTACTACTCGTTTTGTTTCCGTCATTTCATGACGTCCGTCAGGTCCTTACATGGTCGATTTGTACGTGCCAGTGGAGGTTGGAAGCTGTCGACGGTAAGACGGATCGGAGCCACTGCGCCGATTTGATCTTTTCAACGAGACTCAAGCGATGTTACTAGTAGCGATGCACTTGTTCCTAGTAGCGTCCTTCCTTCTAATAATAAGGCACTTGTTACTAGTAGCGATGCACTTGTTCCTAGTAGCTTATTGTTTCTACTTGTCAAGATCAAATGAGAACAGTTCCAGTTGATCAAAGGATATAAAAGGCCTCTCAATGGCCTCTACTAGCGATGGCCTCCACAAATCCGCCTTGGTAAACATAAAGAAAGACTTGTAAGTGCAAACGTCGCTGTTTCACCTTCCACAGAACTTAAGTCTTTGAAGAACTTTGGAAACTGTGCAAACTCGGCACGGCAAATGATGCACATTTCCAGGCACACGTTCCTCACGAGGGAACTTTCCCGGCCAATCTCTTCACCGTTTCAGCAGCTTGGATCAAAAGATATCAAAAGCTTCGTTTCTTTGCGGAGGAGGGTAGGCACGTGGCCTCAACATGAGAGACGAACAACAAGAAGAAAAAGCACACGAGTCCATTTCGGGACTAAATTGTTGAGTCTCACTCGCGTAACTCCCCATCCTACCCTCCACCTTGTTCAACATGTACTGTTTTTGCGTCCATCCTTCGACATTTGTGTTGTTTCTGTTTGTTTGTTTTTGGCTCGTCCAAAAAATAAACTAATTCTGAAAAATTATCAGAACATATAAAAAAAACTCAGTATATATATAAACTGTGACAATTTGAACCAAAGATAAGTAAATGCACCCACCGGCGCCCACGGTTTCTCGGAGGCCTTGGCGGTGCACCTGTTGGCAGAGGCGGAGTTCTGCCCGCTGAGCGGCGAGCTGCTGGGCCCCACGCGCCTGCGCCGTCGGCATCTGCTCCACATGGAATGCCAGCACCTGGGAGAGGAAGAGAAGTTGAAGAATATGAAGAGAAGAGTAGAGGAAAGAGAAAGAGGAAAAAACATGAAAAAAAGGAATGTTATCGTTTAAAGAAAACGAAGAACAAATGAAAGGAAAAGAGAAAGGAAGAGAAAAGAGAAGAGACATCTTCAGGTCAGGTGGGAGGCCATCGCTGGTAGGTTGTGATTCTCTAATTTTGCTGCTATCCGAGGCATGTGGGCCTCCGGCGGAAGGAGTGGTTGTCGCGACCTGACACAGAGGCGCCGCAGCCGCTCTACTTTTCGTTCGTTCCTGAAAGAAGCTGAAAAGCAAATTGAAAAGTGTCGTTTACTTTGTCTTTGAAAGGGTTTCACTTTTACTTTCTTAGCATTGGTTTACCTAGTAGCGAACCTTGTTCCTAGTAAGGCCAGGAGCCCCGTTCGTAGCGTCCGATCGCTCCGTTCGTAGCGATGCCCTGTGTTCCTAGTAGTGTCCTTGTTCCTTTCGAGACTTGAGACCTCATTTCAGGCCTAGTAGTAACAAGTGCCACGCTAGTAGTAACAGGTGCCACGCTAGTAGTAACAGGTGCCACGCTAGTAGTATCAAGTGCCACGCTAGTAGTAACAAGAAGCTATTAATTGATTTATTTCTAATAGCAAACATTGTTACTACTAGTAAGGCACTTGTTACTAGAAGCGACGCACTTGTTCCTAGTAGCTTATTGTTTTCTAATTTATTCTTGTTCCTAATAGCTTCTTGCTACTACTAGTAAGGCACTTGTTACTAGAAGCGACGCACTTGTTCCTAGTAGCTTATTGTTTTCTAATTTATTCTTGTTCCTAATAGCTTCTTGTTACTAGTAGTAAGGCACTTGTTACTAGAAGCGATGCACTTGTTCCTAGTAGCTTATTGTTTTCTAATGTATTCTTGTTCCTAATAGCTTCTTGTTACAAGTAGTAAGGCACTTGTTACTAGAAGCGATGCACTTCTTGTTTCCGCCTCATTTCAGGCACGAATCACCGACTTGGAAGCCTTACTGGTGAAACATGTCCCGTTGCGGCGCCGGCCGATCTCCATGGTCGAGGTCCAAAGTCCGGCCGCAACGACCTTTGCTGAAGTGTTGTTTTGAGAACAAGTGCCACGCTAGTAGTAACAGGTGCCTTACTAGTAGTAACAAAAAGCTATTAGAATTAAATAAAAACAAATCTAAATTAATAGCTTCTTGTTACTACTAGTAAGGCACTTGTTACTAGTAGCGATGCCAATTGCTCCTAATTGCGTCCGATCACTCCTAGTAAGGCCTGGAGCCCCGTTCGTAGCGTCCTTGCTCCTAGTAGCGTCCTAGGACGTTGGTTTGTTTCTTTTCTTTCGAACCCTTCTTTTTCTTGGGTTCTTGAGAAAGGGGGTGACAAGGCCTTACACGTGCTACGTTGCACCAGGTGCCAACGGTGCAAACAATTGAAGCGGGAGAGAAGTCTCTTGGCCCTACGCTAGAGATTCTCGGCAAAAATAGCAGAAGTCCTACAAGTCCTACATTTTACAATCCAATCTAAGTCTGAAGTCTGACTTTGTGCTTTAGACTTGATGTGTTTTGTTAGGCCATGTGTTTTCCGTTTTTCCTTAGATCGTTTCTTTTTAAAAAAGTGAACCAAAGAGGAAGTGAAAGGCACTCCACTCTGGGTCCATTCCGTGAGTTCGTCAAGACGGAATGAGGGAGTATGCTTTCAAAAAATAGAGAACAGGGTTATGACAGCTTCTTGTTACTAGTAGCTTCTTGTTACTACTAGTAAGGCACTTGTTACTAGAAGCGATGCACTTGTTCCTAGTAGCGTCCGATCGCTCCTAGTAAGGAAAAGAGATGTTGGGCCCAATTCCGAAAGGTTCAGTCGACATGTTCTCCAGGACAGAAAAGCTCGAGGCTGAAAAAGGAACTGCTAGCGCGGGCGATGCTAAAGTCGTTGGTTCGTGGCCTTACGAGCTTCCTCCATACAAATACCGCTGCAACACCTTCCACTCGTTTCTTAGTCAAGGCGGTCAAGAGATGTGAGGCGCAAGCGTTTTTGGGTGAAGTCCTGGCCTGTCAATGTGAGGAGTGACATGCGTTGTCGTTTCTGTTCTTTTGTTGGACCAATCTAACCCTGACTTATTGGGATCTTTTCCTTTTGAACATAAAGATCTATAGGAACAAAGGGCATCGCTACTAGGAGCAAGACGCTACTAGTAGCAAGGCGCCTTACTACTAGTAGCAAGAAGATACTAGTAGCGATGCCCTTTGTTCATAATAGCGCCCTTGCTCCTAGTAAGGCCAGGAGCCCCTAGTAGTTTCTTGTTACTACTAGTAAGGCAGAAGCGATGCACTTGTTCCTAGTAGCGTCCTTGCTCCTAGTAGTAAGGCCAGGAG